TGATGTTACTAATATCTGATGTTTTAGGAATTGTTGAGCTGGTCGGCTGACAACACTACCAATAATGCACTGTTTATAGTAGGACCTCCATCCAGGTATGTTGCAGTTAGAATTTTAAGTGCAGCAATAATAAGAAATGCAAAGACGACAATGACTGAAGTTCATTAAACTCAGTGGGACTATGTATGAAAATCTACACATTGCAGCTTTGTAATATATAGACAAACAAGGCACAAAATAATGCAAGATGCTTTGCCAAGGGCCCCCAGCGCACTATAGGAATATTCTGTGTTTATTACATGGCTTATGTGCAGTGAGCTAAGCATCATCCCACCCACCGCAAGCAACTAATAACAGAACGGACATCCCTACCAAATACATGACTATAGGACTACAATAGAGAACTGCCATGGAGATCATAAAGAGAAAGAGGTAGCTGTCACAAAACGGGGGATCTGCACACCAATTAAGAGAGAGTTGCCGCAAAGGAAGACAGAGAAAAATGGGGGGAAAGAAAAACATAACTCAGGATGCTATCTAGGGTAAAGCAGTAGCAGCACGGATTGTTGAAACATAATGATCATTGTGCTGTAGGCTTGTGGGTTTGTTGCTCAGAAAACTCTTGATGTTGTAACACATTTCAAAAGTACTACTTTGCATAACTAGTATGTTATAGAAACCAGGAAACATTAACATAAGATGATTTTGTTTCCTAATTAGTAGGCTTGTGCTGGCTTCATAACAGTTTAAGTTTTACATACATTATGGTAAATATAGTTACATTTTAGTTTGTGAGCTCATTCTGATATTAGACTTTTGATATTTACATGGACTGATTTTTGCAATCATTCTGTAATGACAGCCATCGTCTATCTCCATCATATAGTGTTGCAAAAATTACAATGTGTTAAGAGAAAGCAATCATGTGAAATGGCCCACATCCAACTTCTCTCATGACAAGATGCCCCTGTACATGTATCTGGAGGCATGGCTTGATCCCTACAAGCATGAGGAGGACCACAGAAGATTAACTGAAGCATACGCATAAAAACGACTGAGCAGTATTACACGCTTTTGTTCTTTATTAGAGCTATCAAATATTATTTTCTACAATGGCAATTCGTTTGCTTTCCCCGGAAGCGTTAGCTGACATTTTCGTAACTGGACCTCTTCCAGGTTTCTGATCATTCTACATTGTTTCATCAATATCTGTAATCACAGAAGTTGCATGATTTAGCAATCTTCAGCAGAAGCCACTAATTAAACCATTTTTAGACTGAAATGCTGTTCGAAGTCTTTCAGTAAGACTGTTTTAAATTCCACCACAAGACCAAATTATCACAAGACTCCAATTTAAACACAAAAAATTAGTTTAAGAATTAGGCTTTTAAGGAAACAAGACCTCTATTATATTACACCACTTTCCCTGATTGTGGAAAATTTAATAAACGCAATTCTTTCATCTGTAATGAAAGTAGATCATACCGAAAAATACCAAAGCAGCCTCACAAATAACTACCAAGAGTATCATCTGTTCCCTCATGTCAACTCTTCTTTCTTCTTGCTATTATTACCATCAATACTTGCCCTCCCGTACCATGGTAAGGCTATCCCAAGATGCCAGCCCCTACCCAAGACCAGCCACATGTTTAGCTTCCTCCACACTACTCTGCACAGATACACAGCAGCACTGTAGTCCACACACAGAACTCTCAAATTCTTCCTTCTAGCTTCAGAGTATCTCAAAGACCTGAAGGCAAAAGGAGAGTACCATGTGTCTGTTGCCTATTGTTTCTAAAGACTAAAGAACGTATGGTAACTGTGTATATAGTTGTATGCCTACTATCAGCACTTTAACCATTATGGAGCAATGAGGATGTGCACATTCACAGTGAACTAATTGTTCCTTTTCACAGGTAACTGACATGAGTACTAAATTACAAGGTTGCATTAAATCTACTTTCAAAGGATGTGGTAAAGAAAGGTATCTGACAATAAGAGATTAGTATGGTATGAATGGAGAACCTGAAAGGACTCACCAGGGGAGGGGGTCCATTTTCTGCTGTATCCTCTTCCTCACACTATTTCTTCTTTCTG